AAATTATGAAACAATAAAAAATTTAATATTTTCTCTTATCATTCTACATATATTTATTTAATTAATTTTAATTTTTATTCATTTCTTTTAAATAATTATACATATTTTTGTGTATGTCCCCATTTTTTCCAAAAAAAATTCTTTTTCGTTTATTCAAAAGATATCCTTCCCCTTAATAAAAAATTTCCTTATGAATTCCCCAATTCATTTTTAATTTTTTATAAGTTTCTTTATACATATGTACATGAAATCCGAGTAAGGAAGGAAATAATTTATTCAAAAAATATATAGGTAAGTAAAATTAGTTTGCTATATATTTATTTGTTGCACTAAACCCTAGAACTTTTATTTCATTGGGAACTTTGGGGTTATTGGGTATTGTAGAACATTTATGTCAACTTTTATGCCCCCCCATTCATGTTTAGTTTAATGGTTCGGAGTTAGTTTTTTTCATGATTGAGTATAATGAAGTTTTCCTCATGAATGTTCCTCAAACTATCCTTGTTGGATATAAGGATAGTTTGAGGAACCTGATTAACCCCAAAGGCTATAAGTCCCTAACAAAATTATATGATAGGGACTTACTAGGAAAGGTTTTTAAGATGGTCAAACATTTTTAAATTAATTTTCCATATATTTTTAGGTATTTAATTTAAAAAGCTTTCTTTCCTTTCACCTTATTCTTAAAAAATCTTTCAACAAAAAAATCCAAAAAAAATGAGTAATAGCAGTGGATTTATTGACACTTTAAGTATTTCTGATAATGATAATCACTCAAATGGTTCTCCTATTCCAAAAGAAGAAAAAATTGCAGAGAGGATTGGAAAACAGAATATTGGATTGAAAGTAATTAAATAAAAGGGAATGGATAATTAAATTTGAATTCATTTAAAGGTTCCTTCACCAATACCTCCAGCAGCTATTGCGCAGCGACCACAATTAAATGAAATGGTAGGGGAATAAATTTTTTAATATTTTTAAAGGGTTTGGAGTAGAAATTAAAGTAATAGTGTAATATTAAAATAAGCGTGATATTATTGAATAGATTGACTTAAAACAATAGAAATGGAGGATGAAAATTTAGGACAAATTTGGAGAACTTTTAAGATAAGAATATAGAGAATAATTAGGATTGAAGACTGGACTTGAGGATTGAGGAGTGATCGAGATGCAAGATCTATATCTTTAAAAAATTTCAACCTTATACCTAGAGCAGTTCACTAAATTTTTTGGTTAAACCTGGCTAAACCGAAACTGAACCGAAATTATCGGTTCATACTACTCATATCTTGTTTGAACGGGATCCCGTCTCGGCCCAAAAAATAATAAAAATAAAATAATTATTCTTAAGGTAAAGGCCTATGAACAAATAATAAGTCATGTAGGTGAAGATATTAACAGACAAGGTTTACAAAAAACACCGTTTCGTGCTGCTAAAGCAATGCTTTATTTTACTAAAGGATATGAAGAAAATTTTGATGGTAAAAGAAATAAAAATATTTTCGGAAAAAAATATTTTAATTTTTATTAGATGTTTTAAATGAAGCTGTTTTTGATGAAGATACTGATGAAATGGTGAATTAAATAATAATAATTCTGTCTAACCCTCACTATAAGTTTTACCAAATACCCTCAATTTAGTATAGGTATCTTAAAATTGGTTACCACTAGGTGGGGTCTAGCCAATCGAGACTTTTGAATGAAATCATGTCTCGGTCCGAAAATTCTTTTCCTCATTATAAGTTATACCTTCAGTTTAATATACGAGGCAATTCCTGGTAATATGGAAGTTTAAAGACCCCTCCCCTTTTTTCCTCCCCAAATTTTTTATTAAAATGTACATAATGATAAGACTCTCCTTCCTTTCTTCCCAAATTCCCTTTTCTGTTATTTGGGGAAAAATTGGGAAAATTAAAGGAAAAAAAACTTGGTGAGGAAACAAAGGGGGTCTGTAAACTTCACTATTACCGAATCCCTCATAAAAGTTACAATTTTTTGCCTTAATGAGGTATTTAAAAATAAGGCGATTTTAAATAAAAATGATTTTTAAGGTAATTGTTCGCGATATAGAAATGTTTTCTTTATGTGAACATCATCTAGTTCCATTTCTTGGGAAAGTACATATTGGCTATTTACCAAATAAAAAAGTACTTGGATTAAGTAAATTAGCTCGATTAGTTGAAATGTTTAGTAGAAGATTACAAGGTATTTTTAAATTAAATAAATACAGACAGACTTTGCTATGTGATTGGATAAACATTTATAAAGGATACCTTTTTGATAGACTGATTAAGGGAGGAGAGCTCTCTAAGCAATACTCCCAGTTTAAGGAACACTCCGTTATAAGAAGCACTTTTTACAGTTAAAGTGGTCTTACAGGGATGGGCTCGGTTGAAAAAAAGGGTTGGGGTTTTCAAAAATTTTTCCGAATCAGGTTTGGGGCCTAAAAATTTTTCGTTTCCCAGCCCAATCCTGGTAACTTATAGTAAAGTATAATTGTATTTTCTCTAAAAATATTTTTTAAATTAATTTTATTTAAAAGTAAAAGTGTCTTACAGGGATGGGCTGGGTTGGAAAAAATATATTTTTAAATAAATTTATTTTATTTAAAAGTACAAGAAAGATTAACAAAACAAATAGCTGCAGCTGTTTTACAAGCTGTACATCCATCGGGGGTTGGTGTTGTTATTGAAGCTAGGTACTTATAGAATTTTTTAAATAATTTACCTATTTAATTAATTTAAAGCCATATGTGTATGGTTATGAGGGGAGTCCAAAAAATAAATGCAACAACAACAACTTCGTGTATGTTGGGAGTTTTTAGGTAATAAATAAATAAAAAATTAAATTTAAAAAATAATTTTTTAAGAGATGATCCAAAAACTAGAGAAGAATTTTTAACATTAATTAAAAAATAATAAAAGAAAATTTAAAGAAAAAGAAAAGAAAATTTTAAGAGAATTAAAAAATTTTGGGCTGTATATGAAAGGAATGCGGCACTCAATTTTTTTCCCTTATTCTTAAAAATGGTTAATTTTCTTTTATTTTTCTCTCTATTTTTGATTTTTGCCTACGACTACAAATGCAAAAGGATTAATTTTCTTTTATTTTTTTATTTCGTTCGTTTGACTGACCGATGTGTGTCCGTGTTTTAACTGACCGATGTGTGTCCGTGTTTTAACTGACCAATGTGTCAGATTGACAAAACTCGGACGAACCCGGACAGACAAACTCGGACGAACCCGGACAGACAAACTCGGACAAACTAGGTCAGTTAAAACACGGACACACATCGGTCAGTCAAACGAACGAAATAAAAAAATAAAAGAAAATTAATCCTTTTGCATTTGTAGTCGTAGGCAAAAATCAAAAATAGAGAGAAAAATAAAAGAAAATAAACCATTTTTAAGAATAAGGGAAAAAAATTGAGTGCCGCATTCCTTTCATATACAGCCAAATTTTGTATTAAAAAAGTAAATTATAATTTTGTTTGTATAAAAATAAAAGGAAAATTTATTTAAAAAAAACATTTTTAGATTCAATAAATCTTTTTATTTTATAAATATTTCGTCTATTTTAATAAGATTGAAACCCGGATCTCGAGGGATAGACTCCCACGACGAACCCCGATAGGTTAATCCCGGTAAACCCCAATTCCCGACACATACCCCCGATAAGGGGTGCGTATTGCGTCTTGCATTAATTGCGCTAAATTTTGGCCTTGCGTTTTGCGTTGATTTTTGGCCTTGCGTTACGTTTTCACGATTGCCTCTTGCGCTAGCCCCTGCCCCCGTTTTGAGTTTGAATTAGCACGCGCATTTTAAAAAATTGTCTAAAAATTTTAAAAAATTGAACGACAGAAAAATTTACATATAATTTTGTATTTTTTTAATGTTTCATAATTTAATTTTTAAAAAATTACCTACCTTTACATTTCGGCAAAGGTTCCCAATTTCCATTAGGCAAACAATACGAAATAATTAAATTATTATTTTTATTTTCCAATGGTTTATATCTTTAAAAAATAATTTTTTGATTTTTAATTAATTTAATTTTTCCTTTACCCTAATTGACATCCAAAACGTAAAAATCCTTTAGATCGATTTAATTCAACAATAAATCCGTTGTGTACTATTGGCACAATACAAGATATATTATTGTGTTTATTAACTAAAATTAATTTATTATTAAAAAATTTTTTAATCAAAATTAAAATAACAAATAAGTCTAATCTCAGTTGTACGTCAGATTAAGGATAAAAAACTGTACGTTGACCCAAGTCGGTAATTATCGGAGCATTGCTTAGAAACTAAAATGTACGTACAATTAGAGAGTATATGTAAATCTGAGTGTATATTAGGGACGGGCCGGGTTATGAAAAAGTCGGGGCAGATTTCGGATCAAGTTTTAAAAATTTTCTTAGGATCGGGTTTCGGATCGAAAAGTAGTTCTGGGTCAGTTAACCAAGATCGGCTATATAGTAAATATTAATTTTTTAAAATAATTCTGATTAATTAATTAAATCAGAATTATTTTTAAATTTTACATTTTCCTTCCTCCTCCTCAGAAAAACATCCATTAAATATTTTATTTTCTTCATTTCCATCAAAATATTTCCATTTCCCATTTTCAGAACAAATTAAAGTTCCTCTATTTTTATTACAGTTATATTTAAATAAATTTCTATATGGAAATAATTTTTGTTGATTTTTTGGAATTTTTTGGTTTTCTGGTAATAAACAATCTGAAATTTATTTTTAAATAAAATTTTTTTTTATTTTTATCAAACCAATTGAATAATTAATTTTTAAATTAAATTTTGGTGAAGTTGAGTGAATTTGTATTTGTGTAGATGAATAATTGGAACGGAATAGGAAAGGCAATTTTAAGCTAATAATTAAAATAAATTTTTTAAAATATTTTATTTAAAAATTTATAGTCGGATCTCACTATAAGATACCCCCTAAGCGTTGAAAAATCTGTCTCTTATAATGAGGTGTCTATTAAATAGAGGGTATAGTATATTAAACAGAAAGTGTCAATTTAACATCCCCCCCCCCCCACCGCAGTGGTCAAGCAAATTTTCAAAAAAACGTCTGTTAAATAGAGGTGTCGCTAATATTGGGGGTATCTTATAGGGAGGCTATATTTTATTTACTTTGTTGAATTTATTGCAATAGTATTGCCATCATTTGTTTTGAACTATGAAAATTTTTAAAAAAATTAGAAAAAAAAAATTTTTTTTTAATTTAAAAACCAAAATTTCATCATCTTCTGTAGCAGCCAAAGAATCCACAAAAATATTAAAAGGGCATAAATTATTTTCTTTTTTGCAAGGGATATTAATTTGCCAAGAACAATTAATGGAAGAACTTTTTATTAAATTATTTTCTTCTGGAATTTCTAAATATCCATAATTTCCAAAATTAATTTGTTGATTTAAACAATCTTTTGAAATAAAATAATTATTATAAATTATTTTAAAGATTATTTTAGGGCTTCCAAAAAATATCCACGAAATATTGCAAAACATGCAAGTATATTTATCAGAGAAGCGGTTGAAATAGAAAATAAACGGGAATTGGGATTTCCGGCCAAAAAACGGGAATTCCTGATTCGTGCATTCCGGGAATTTGTTGGTTGTTAGTGGGGGGTCGATGTTGGACATAGAGGCTAAGACGTATGATAGTATTCTAAAAACGAATTAAGCAAAGTTAATTAAAATTAAGACATAAATGTGTGGACGTTCATGTCTTGAATCTTGACATGGTCTTAAAATCAAGATGAAAATATCCAAGCGAATATCAAAATAAAAACAGGGTTTCAAATAGCTTAAACCAATATTAAAATTTATTTTTTGGAAACCCCAATTTTTTATTTTTAACAAATTTACTTCTTTCAAAATTAATTTTAAATCCTTTCCCTCCAATTAAATTATTATTTGAATTAAAAATAAAATGAATTTCTGAAAATGTTGATAAAAAACTAAAAGAATAATTGATGTAATTTGAAGTTAAATTTTTGTAAATTATTTGTTGATTATTCCCAATTAATTTAATTAAAAGCCAATCATTCAAAATTAATTGATTTAACAGCAACTTTAATTTAATATTTATTTTAAAATAATTAAAAATTAAATTAAACTTTAATAAACACAATTCCATTATTTTTATTATTTATTATCCAATGACATTTAATTGGTGTTTTGTAATATCCGTTATTATCTGGAATGGCTAAAGGTGGAGAAAATGTTCCATTCTTTTAAAAATAATTTTTAATGAATTTTTTTATTAATTTATTTTTTTTATTAATGTTTTTAAATTTTTGGAAATAATTTAAATAATTACAGAAAAATATATATTAACCATATTATTTTATTTTTAATCTAATTTTTAAATAAATATATTTAATTATAAATACCCAGGATTCGAACGTTCTTTCACATACTGATGCTTCTATAAAATAAATTATTTTTAAAGTTATTTAAAATAATTTAGTAAATTTTCTGTTCCAATAACCCTCACTTTTAGATACCTCCTTAAATTTGAAAAAAGCTTTTTTTCTGTTACTGAGCGTATTTTAAATAGAGAGAAGTATCACCCTAACGCCCAATAGCTATGCAAATTTAGAAAACGCTTATCTTAAATTTAGATGTAGCTAGAGTTAAGGGATCTCCAATGGAGAGGTCTGTCTCGGGGTATGCCAGTTTTGAGTTTTGTGGATTTTCGCTTTTTAAAATTTCGGCACACCCCTAATCTGTCTGTATTTAAATTTTATTTTTCTCTTTATTTAAATAAATTCTTACCATCAACAAAATATTGCAAATAAAAATAGCTGTCATTAGTTAAATTATCAATAATATATTTTTCAAAAATAATAATTAATTTATTTTCATCAATTAAATAATTTGAAGTATTTAAATTGTTAATATTTATTTCTTTACTATTTTCCAATTTTAATTTTAATTTATCAAAATAATTTAAATGGAGAGACAAAAACTTTAAATTTAAAAAATTAAATATTTTAAAATTAAAAAACAAACAAACATTTAATTTAATTTTAGCCCCAAATTTATTTTTAATTAACCATTCATAACGAATTAATTGTTGAGGACATTTAATATTCATTAAATTCTGTTTTGATGATTTAATTAAAGGAAAATAAATATTTCCATAGGGAGAACTAAAAATAAATCTTTTTTGTAAATAAAAATGTTTTTTGACAATTTTTTAAGTTAATTTTCTAAAATTTAACAATTTTTGAAAATTAAAAAAAACTTAATAGAAAACTAAAGGACCAATCTCGAAATTACACATGTAATTCGCGAGTAATTAAAACTAAGAATAAAGTTATAGTTAGAGTTGGCCGGTATTGGAATCCTGACCGGTATCGGGCGGTATACCGGTATTTTTAAATCACGATACCGTCCAACTCTAATTACAGTTGGGAACTTTTCTAATACTGAGTTAGGGCTTTAAGGTTGAGGAGAGGATTATAACCCTTGTAGTAGCTTTCTAAAACTATATTTTTTATTTTGGATTTTTTATAATTTATTTACCTCAATTCTTTTTTAATAATTTTATCATTACTACACAAACATTTATTATTAATTTCATCTTCTCCATTTTTACAATCCTCAATTCCATTACAAAAATTTAAATGCTTAAAAATTTAAAAAATAATTTTTTATTTTCCTTTAAAAAACTAAACAGAAATACATCCACTATTATCTGAACATCGATGTTGGGGATGTTTATTTGAATCTATATTTGGAAAGAAATTAAATTAAAATAAATATTTTTTTATTTACCCAAAAAACAGGGAAATGTTTGACAAATTGTGAGAAGTAATTCTGAACAATTACGAAGTCTCCAACCAAACTATAAAAATATTTTTTAATTTTATTTATTAGTGTAAGTAAGTCGTCCAAAAAGTACTCCCCATTAAAGCTGAAAATATTCTATCTTATCATGAGGGTATTTTAAATTAGGTACTATATCCTTTAGGCAGCTCCCCAATCCAGTAGCCAACCGATTTTTAAGCCGTCCTTTAAATAGAGGTTTGACTGTTATTGAGGGCAGGCTTGGTAATGAATACGGATATAGATACAGATAAGTTCAAAATGCCTTCGGATATCCGTCTGTATCCGCCGTAAATATCCGGATACGGATACCAAAAGCCATGACCATTACCAAGCCTGATTGGGGTATCTTATAAGGTCTTATAATGGAGGTAATTTATGTGGAGGGCTTATACAGGGAGTATCTTATATGGAGGTTTGAATCTAATAATTATTTAATAGACAACATTTTCTTTATCCGAAAGCATTGAATTCCAAGAAATACATAGAATATTCTCTTTATCATTCAAAAATTCATCAAATTGTGGCTGTAATAATGCCCAATTTGGACTATAAAAAATAAAAGAATTTTTAAATTTAATTTAAATTTACTTGTATATATTAATTGAATAATTAGAATTAAATTTAAAAATTCTGTCTGTCAATTCTTTTGAATTATTTAAATTAATATACCTAAAGAATTTTGATTTAAACAGATTAATTAATCAGTCGAACCTCTTTTTTAGATACCCCCAATATAAGATTTTCCTATAAACTACACTCTATTTATAAGATTTACACTAGTGTTGCGCCGGAACCGCAAATTTGGCAGGAACCGGAACTTAACAAACAAGCCGAACCCCGGAACCGGAACCAAAAAATATTGGAACCTCCGGCCTATCTGAACCGGAACTTCTAGCGTAACACTTATGTATATACACCTCTATTTAAGATTTTTCTAATTTAAATGTCCAAAGAGTGGAGAGAGCTATCTAAGTAATACCCCCAATTTAATATACCCTTCATTATAAGATACCCTAAATTTAAATAACCCTCGTTATAAGATACGTTTTAAAATTCTGGTTAGACTTTGGTTGGGATACTCCCTATTTGGGGGGGGGGAATACTCCCGATACTGCCTATTTTAGCTACACTTCTATTTAAGTACCCCTCATTATAAGCTACAATTTTTCTAACCCTAAGGGTGTATCTAAAAATGAGATTCGACTGTTTTAAAAAAGAATTACCAGGATGTCCAAAATTCAAAAGACCCATTAAATTCTTTATTTAATATTTTACTCAACTCCTTATACAACAAAAAATTATCCAAAAATAATGAATTGCTTGAATTATTTCTTTAAAATTAAATTTTAATTTAAAAATAAAATTAACTCAAAATCTTGACAAAATTCATTAGCTTCTTTCCAATTAAATTTTTTAAAAATTTTTTTAAAGCATCCAGTACCAACAAGATGCCAATTTTCTAAAAAAATTTAGAAAAAAATTTTTTTTAATATTTTTTACCTTTCGGTTCTGGGCAAAATAAATTTAAATTACCAATATTAAAGTTAAATTCTTCTTCGGAATTAATTAAATAAATTAAAACAAATAAAAGAAAATTAAATAATAAATTATTAAAAATGTTTAGAAAAGACATTTTTTGAGATCCTTAAAATTATTAAATTTATTTTTATTTTTAAAGTCAAATATCCCCCTAACACCCATCCCTTATGTAAACTCTTACTTTAACAACAGATTTTTTCTATACAAGATTTGTGTGTAAGCGAGATTTAATATTTAATTAATTAATTATTAGGGCTGTCCAAAACATGCAAATGCATGTTTTGTATGCGGATATGCCTTGAGAGAGAAGCACAAAAATGGTGTTTTTGCATTGGTAGGAGCAATTTAGAACCCGGTTATTAATGCATATATTTTTGCATATTTCGCTTGGCGGTTTTCCGTGCTTGGACAGCCCTAATAATTATTTGGTGTTCGTTATAAATAAAATATGTATGTGCTGGCAAAATATCCGATATTTACATAAAACATAATTGAAAAGAATTAATTTAAAGATTTATTTTGAATATAATCAAAAATTTTTATTAAAAATATCAAAAATAATCAAAAAAATTTTCAATTTTAATTTTAAAATAATAATAATGGAAAAAGGACAAAATAAACAGAAATTTTTTACTATTTAAAAATTAATTAAGAATGAAAGGAAAATTACAAAAATTGATTTTTTATAAAATTATTTTTGTTCTTTTTCCTATCAAATAATCAAAAAAAAGTATATTTATTTAATATAAATAAATAGGTGCGGACATTAAAAAAGAATTTTTATTTTTATTTATTTTTAAACCTTTCCAAAAATTAAAAAGTCTATCAAAACTTTTAAAAACTTTTAATTAATTGATTAAAGAGAGAATTGAAAGAGAGGAATTTTATTTCCTTTTTCAATAAAAAATTGTTAAAAACAAAAACAATTTTTTAATTTATTTGATAATTTTTGTTTGTAACCCCTCCTTTTCTATATTTTTTTTAATTTTCTTCTATTTTTCCTGGCATTTTTATTCTATCAAAAAATTAAATTTTTTCATATACATGTGGACGAGATTTATTCAAAAAAGTGTAAAAATTTATTTTTTTTGAATTTCAAAAATATTGTCTAGCTGTTATGGTGCGAGTTT